AATCCCAAACACTTCAATATAATACATGAATCATCTGTATAACCAAAGCCATGATAAACTCACTGAAAAAAACCCATAATTCTTATTTTCAATCTTCGAGAAGAGCAACTTTACAGAACTCTTAAAAAATAAAATTTTTAAATGAAAATAAAAAGGGGATTTCAATTATATGCGATCATTAGAATCAAAGTGCTGCAGTCATCACTAGCTATTTTGGGGACTGCTACACTAAACCGTGATCTTCGAGAAAATCTCTCTCTTACGAAATGTTGCGTTTCATACGTAACTGGTTTTGATGCCAACCAAGTTTTCCAAGACAAAGCTGTACATGGTTCTCCTACAGATTAAGGCCTTTATAAAAGCAGCCCATTCAGACTGGCTTAAAATTTAAAAGAATCCTATAACGAATGTTTCTCAGTTGTGGGCACATTTTAAAATACATTCTCATTAATTTCAGATATTCAACATTTACTATTTTGCCTCTTCCAATATTCTGTGAACAAGTAATTTTGTACTCAAAGCTTTCACTAACTCTCATAACCATGCTTCATCCCCCTGGTGTTCATGTGCAATGTGAGACAAACTTCAACAAACAAGCAAAATTTCTTCAGATCATTTGCTTAGAAGAGGACTGTTGTGGTTTAAGCCCAGCTGGAATTAAACACCACACAGCCGCTCCCTCAACAGCCCCTTTCTGCCCCCCATCCCAGTGGAATGGGGAGGAGAATCAAAAACTTTTATGTTAAGAACAGTTTAATAATTGCAAATACAGTAAAATACAGTAATAATGGTAAATGGTAATAATAATGATAATGAAAAGGAAAAAACAAGCGATGCACAATGCAACCGCTCACCACCTGCTGACCGATACCAGATCCCCCTTCCCAAACCCAGAGGCTGCCTTCCAGGCAACTCCCCCCAGTTCATACACTGTGCATGACATTCTGTGGTGTGGAATATCCCTTTGGTCAGGTTGGGTCACCTGTCCCAGCCTTGCCCCTCCCAGCTTCTTTTGCTACCTCCTCGCTGGCAGAGCACGAGACAAGAAAAGAGTCCCTGACTTAGGATAAACACAGCTTAGCAAAAAAACAAAATATCGGTGTGTTACCAACACTATTCTCATCCTGAATTCAAAACACAGCACCACAACAGCTACTGAGAAGAAATTAACTCTACCCTAGCTGAAACCAGGACAGAACCTAAGGTTAGTTAGTTAAACCAGCTGGGAACACTCACCAAGTTTCATTAGTGTACACTGATTTAAGATTTCACTCCTAGCAACTTGGGGTTTGTCTCAGTTCCATTTGAAAATTGATACTCAGGATGTGAACACTCGAGGATGGCACCTTTCTTGCAACCAAACAGCCTACAGCCCAGCCAAGGACCTTGGCATCTTTGGGACCCTCAAGGCAGCATGATGATTTATTTCTCTGCCAGCCGCCAGTTTTTGAAAATCCTGTTGTGCAGGGTATAAACGGCAAGGTGCTGGGAGTAGAGGAGCTGCGGGAATGGCTCCTGCAGGAAAAGGCCAGGGGTTGTTCTGTCCCAGGCCCAGCTGGCTCCAACAGAACCACAGCAAGACACAGCTGAGCCCCTCAGCAAAGCTGACAGCACCTCTGGGAAGCTGTATTTAAGAAAAGGCAGAAAACACCACAAAACAGAACAAAAGGAGCGAGAAACAACAAAGGAAACACCACCAAGGTCAGAGGAGGAGGAGGAGGTGCTCTATGGTGCCAGAGGAGGAACCCAAGGGAGGTGCCAGGGAGGACACAAGCCAGAGCAGGTGGATATACCCTGAAGGAACTGTGGCACATGGACAGCCTGTGCCAGAGCAGATTCTTCTTGCTGAAGGACTGCTGGCAGTGGGGAACCCATGCCAGAGCAGAGGAAAAACGTGAGAAGGCAGGAGCAGGAGAAAGAAGCCACCTCATGCCAACTGTAACCCCTTTGTCCCCTGCATCACGAGGCACAGGAGTGAAGTTCAGCCTGGGAAAGGGGGGAGGAAAAATGTTACTTTCATCTCTGTCTTCCTCTTTCTGTCTCTATTTTAAATGGCAGTAAATTAAAGTCATTTACCCCAAATCAAGCCTGTTTTGCCCAGAACAGTAATTAGTAAGTGGTCTCCCTGTTTTTATTTAAAGCTACAAATCTTATCCTATTTTCTGTCCCTGCCCCACTAAGGAAGGGGAGAGACTGAGCAGCTGGGTGGGTATGTGCTGTTAGCCAACTCACCACCCAGCACATAACAGTTTTGACCCAATCTTTAACAGGAATGCTGATGAAGCAAGAGCTCAAACCGAGATTTGTGTTACATGGCATGAATCTCATTACTGCTGCTGAGTCCTGGTTCTGAAGTAGACAAATATAATCCAAATTGGCTAAGTGCCTAACCAATCTGAGTTAGGTTAAAGACCCTTTTTTCACCCATCCATCTATCTATCTATCTGTCTGTCTATCTACCTATCCTTTGTGAAAAGCAATGCAAGTCACAGGCTTGACAGAGGACATACATTTCCTATGATCCAAATTGTTACTACTACAGAATAGCAAAGGCAGTGAGCAATCCATTAATATTTCTCTTCTCTCTTGATCTTAGAGCTCCTACTTCTATGAAGGAGTACATAGGATCCATCAGCAGAACTAATCAGAACAAATACAAAAATCAAGTCCACTCAAAATACTGCACCTCTCAAGTGCTGCATTTCTTCAGAAGTACATACTATTGCCACATGCATCCACACAGACCTTCATCCTGGGAGCTTCACTGCTATTTCATCCTTCATCTAATTTGGGTTGTGAGCTTCAAGGAATGGGAACTTGCTAATAGGAGATTCTGTATCAATGCAAGACAGTCCAAATAATAATGCACACCATTAAAATTTCTGTCAAGTTCTCTAATCCCTAATTACAAACAGAAGGTAAAGTAACAATCTATTCTTTTGCGATAGTGCAAGACTGAAGAAAATACAAGAAGGCTTCCCCAAAGGATTCCTTCCCATGTGTGTTCAAAGAGCAATAAATGCTGTTCCTAGCAAGGTTGATATCCTCAGTTAAAATGCTCCAGCATTCAAGAGTTGGAGCCAATTCCCTACACACCAATATATGGATAGAATGAAGATCCCCTTCCCCTTCTGCACTCCCCCAAGCTTTTAAATAATTCCTATGACATATTGTTACACATTCAGCCAAAACACAGATCTTTCATTATCCATTCCCAAGTCAATTTGTAAAACTGAACATTACCAGAGAAGGATGGAGTAAAGTTCGGAGTGCTTTTTTTTCAGTTGATTGCTTCAGATGTACTAACAACAGGGATATGCATCAGAGCACCTTTCAGTTCATATCTCTCTCCATGGATGGAACAGAGGCATTGTCTCTCCTTTTTAATCTTACTAGCTGATAACCTTGACCTGCAACCTGTTAGGTACACCAGGATTTAGAACACAAACTTCCAGTTTTAGACAATCAACAGCGGGTGAAGATATTTCATTAAATAAATTACTCTCTTCCTGTGTTACTCCACTATGAAAGAACAGCCCAGTGCAAATCACTTCACTTACTGACTGTTGATGTTCTCAGTTACCTAGACTTGGAAGCCATGACATTGATTTAATCATTCATGTGCTGTCAAAGAGATAAAATCTACATATGATACTTTCCCATGTTTTAAATATCAAGGAATGCTTCAATAATTTGTATTTTGACTGGTATAGAATCTAGAAGATGCCTTAATAGGAAAACCACTGAAGTGTAAAGTTATGCAGATTGCATAATCCTCTCTGATATGCTTCACTTAGGTAAAAAGTATGTAGATTGGAGAAATTTAAGTCAAATTGTCAATAACATCTCCTGTCTAGCTCTCCCTACCTGTCTGAAATACCTTAGTACATCTTAAAACTATGAAGATCATACTTCCCAACTGGACAGCCAAATCACATTTGCCTTTGCTTGAAGTGATCTCTAACTAGTTCATAGTCTATCACTCAATGATGCATGTCCTGAAACTAAATATAAAACCTTCCACCTTTTCACTCAGGTTTATTTTTAGTAACACCAGTGTCAGGATCACCACCCAGTTGTTCTTAAGGCCAACCCATGAAAGGTTATCTACTATCCATCCATTCATTCTTAAATTCTCTCTCTCTCTTCTTTGAGTCAGGTTTTTCCTTTTATTTTTATTTCTATACACCTGAATGATGCAGTTTTCTTCCCTGTCTAAACGTGCAAAGCTATTACAGCCTTCACAACTGATGTCAACCTTATGCTCATCCTCTCTCTGCTAACTTTAGCACCTCTGAATTCACCCCAAGTTCTGTCTTTGCAGACTTGACTGCTCTCTGAAAATACCTCCAGGTCCACCTCAAGCCCATGAGTGAGCCCATAGAGGCTGACACTATCCTCATACACGGAATGAAGGCATCCATGGCAAAGAAAACTTCTCTTGTTCATCAGGCACAATTCTTTAGATAAACATTTTGAATTTTGTGATACAATAAATAAGAGACCAAACAAGCTACTCATATTATTTATAACGAAATAAATAAAGCTGCACTACATTGCTGAGGTATGCTTTTAAGAGAAAGGACAGAAGCCTTCCTACGACAGGCTGTGCACAGATCCCCCGGCAGCGCACAGAAGGACATTTAGGGCTTTATGCACACTGTCAGCATGTGTGCCTGCAGAACTGCAGCGCTCGTGACCAGTGTCGGGCTGCTCAGCACTTCGGGCCTCTGTCACTCCGCAGGGCCGCGCTGCCGCCGACGCGGAGCGCGGCCCCCCCCCGCACCCCGGCGGTGCGGGACCCCGGCCCCGCTCCCGCGGCGCTGAGCGCTGTGCCCTCGGCCGGGCCGGGCCGGGCCGGCCCTGGGCGGCTCCCGCCTCCCGCCGCCCCCCGCGCCGCTCCCGCATGGCCGGGCCGCCCCCCCGGGCACCGCGGGCCCCTGTGGCCGCCAGCCCGGCTGCACCTGCCGGACCCCCGCCGCCCCCCGCCCGCGCCGCACCGTTCGCGATGAGCTTGGCCGAGAGCTGCTTGACGAGCTCGGGAATCCGCTCCCACTGGCACTCCGAGCGGCACCGCTCGATCTCCGTCTCCAGGCGCGAGCCCGCCTTCCTGGTGGCCATGGCCGGGCCGCGGGGCCCCGGCGGGGTAGGGGCCGTGGCGGGCGGGGGGAGGCGGGGACGGGCGGCGGCGGCGGCCCCGGAGCGGCGGAACTCGAGCGCTGCGGCCGCGCCGCGCTGGCGGCACCGCGACCGCCCCAGCGGCGCCCCCTGGCGGCCACGCGGGCGGGGCGGGGCCAGCGGCGGGGGGGGCCGGGCCGGGCCGGGCCGGGTCTGGCGGGAGCGGCCGCTGCCGGAGGTCCCACCACCGCTCCCGGGGCTGCGGGAGGGACAGACAGACAGACAGACAGACAGGGAGGGAGGGGACGAGTCTGCCCAACGCCACCGCCGTTCGTAGCGGGGCCGGTACCGCCAGGCTGCCGCGGGCACCGGCGGGAGCTGCTTCTTCAGAACCCACTTACACACGGGTGGGAATGGCACGCTCAGCTGATTTCATCCTTACACCGGCGAACGATGACCACAGGCCCCCTTTCCCCCCCCATCTGATTTACTTTCCCCTTCCACAAAATGTAGCGGAAAACTGGTTCCTGCCCGTCATTGGTCGCCTCTTCACCTGCCTTGGCACCGCTCACCACCCTTCGCTTGGTGCTTTTAACCCATTTCACGGCCTTCTCCCCTTGCCCTCTCCACGTTCGTACCTCACACCACTCCCAGTAGCCGACAGACCCTCGCACGCCGTGTCCCACGCCACGGCACAGCCCAGCGGAGCCACCGGCGCAAAACTCACCTGCGCCTCAGTCAAGGGGAGAGCAGGGCCTGTGTAACAAAGGTCCGCACTGCACAGAGATCGTGCCCTACGTTTTGAGAAAATAAATGCATTTCCAGCATTTGGGAGAAATAAAAATACTATCTGAAACAATTCCAGTGGGACTGTGTATCTTTATCAAGTGCTACATCACACATACATGACACACCAGTTCCACAAACTCACATACACCTTGGAAAACTGCTGCCAAGACTGATTTTCACTGAAAAAGTAGCAAAAAGACTGAGACTGCACTAAAAAAACCCAACTCACATATTATTTATTTTTCACAAAATAAGGATACAGCCCATTGACAGAAAGAACAGGTTTTTCAGAGATACTGTGTAATGAAACAAAACATAAATTCAAATAATTCAAATGTCTTGCTCCACACCCTTGGGTCACAGCGCAGACTTGTACTATTAATTCTTTCCATCTGCAGAAATGAGAAAACAGTGAAGCCAACAGGAATTTGGTTGAATTTGTGACAATAACTATCTGTCACAGATGATGACAGTTTGGAGTTTTGAAGATTCAAAAAACAGGCTGGATGCTATTTTTGCTCTTACATGCATTGCACTCCTCTGGATCTAACACATGTTAGTCTTCAGACATGTGAAGTTCACAAACTCAGAAGTGAAATTTGGGCAAACACAACATTACTAGCCTGAGACAGGTCAATCATTGTTTCATAACTGTTAAGGACAACATATTCTTATTCCCCCAACCCTGTGAATCTTCAAACTTCTGTGGATCAATGCTATCATGAGTCACTTTTATGTGCTGTTCTATAAATAGATCAGTTAAATGTAAACATGACATTGCCTATGGGCATTGGTAGAGTTGTTGTGCACATAACAGAATTTCTAAACAATTTTCTAGTTTGGGTATGTCTGTGTGTCACATGCACTAGGTGCTTTCTGAAGTTTTGCTTTGGTTTTGATCATCCACTGAAACATCAGGAACGGGATGCATCTTTTTAAAGATCGACAATTTCCATCGAATCACTAATTGATCGGGAATGGACCCAGGCTTATATAACTGAAAGCTTGTATTCTCAATGTAATGAATATCCACTTCCTACAAATCTTGTTCTGCTTCTATCATCCTTAGACCATCACAGCTATTGCAACTCTATGACAGTTATCAGGTGTCTTTTTCAGTGTTTCAACTAATTAACTTTTCATTCCCAGTTCTATTGAAAGCATAATAGCACAAAATTCAGATATTGTAATTTGCCTTTTGTCAAGTTGCTATTATAGCACTTTCAGGTTACAGTCCCATTTCAAACAAAATATTCTTTAGATTTTAAAAGTGAAATAGAAATGGTAGCAGAACATTACAGTGTTTAAAAATACAATGGAGTGCTGCAGGATTGGAAAGAGGATTTAGTAATATAACAAAAGCAAAAGGAGAAATGTAAAAGCATTTTTTGCTTACCTGAGGTTTCAGAAGATCTAGAGAACATTAAACTGATTACAACATGGATTACTATACTGGAGAGATAAGACAATTAAGTTAAAAATGACACAGGAAAAGAATGGTAATTCAAAATGTTTGATATTGTAACTACTAGTTCTTTTACACATAAGATTATGAAAATGAAAATTTCAACTTTTGAAAAGAGCTCATTTGCTTATGAAGATTATTCATGTTTATTCACAACAATTTTAACACATTTTGTTAGCACTGATCACATCATTTCAATAAGAGCTACCAGTAAAAGAATAGTATTAAAATATTTACATAACAGTTCATCAGGCTTATTATCTCCACAGCTACTATTTATGAAGTGAAATGTCTATGCAAAAGGAATTAGTACATTTTGAAATTCATTGAAACACTTAGAAAATCTGCTTTAACATTAATGAAACTTCCATATACCTAAGACTGCTCTGAGAGGATTCCATTAGAGATGACCCATATTGGAATACAATAATGGATCTGGAATGAATAGCATAAAAGTCATAGAGAAAAGAAGTAGGATCCCACATATTTTGTCAATTGTCCCTTATTTTTTCAACTTTAAACAAAGTGTTGTTTTCTGGAAGTGGCCTGTTCATCAAATTGTTGGGGCAGACTGAGACATACATTTACTTTGCTAGAAATAGTCTGCTTGTAAGGTGAGGCAGCTGGCTGACAAATATAGAGAAATACTTGGTTTCTGAAAAGGATGGAAAATTAAAATGCAGGAAAAGTAACTAACATGTATTGGTCAACCATTTTGCCTTATGCCATCACTCCCACTCCAATTCCCCCAAACACAGGGCAGTAAGAGAAATAATGGATTGTTCAGTGCAATTTCATGAGCTTGCTATGAGGAACTTAAAGTACATGGCTCCACACCGTGGTGGTTTGACCTTGGCCAGATGTCAGATACTCACCAAAGCCACTCTATCACTCCCCTCTGCAAGTGGACAGGAGAGAGAAAACACAATAAGAGGTTCATGAGTACAGGGAGAGATCACTCACTCTTAGTGTGATGGGCAAAATAGACTCAACTTGGGGATATTGAATTTATTACCAACCAATCAAAATCAGAGCACGATAATGAGAAATAAAACAAATCTTAAAAAAATTTCACCTTTCTTCCACCTCTTCCTCCTTCCCAGGTTCTACTTCCTCCCCACCAGAGATGCAGGGAGACAGGGAACGGAAATTGCAGTCAGTTCATCCCAGGTCGTTTCTGCCACTGCTCAGAGAGAGTTCTTCCCCTCCTCCAGCAGGGGGTCCCTCCCACCAGAGACAGTTCTCCATGAACTTCTCCAGCACAAGTCCTTCTCATGGGCTCCAGTTCTTCACCAGCTGCTCCAGAGCGGGTCCTTTCCACGGGATGCAGTCCTTAAGGCACAGCCTGCTCCAGCGTGGGTCCCCCACAAGGTCACAAATCCTGCCAACAAGCCTGCTCTAACGTGGGCTCATCTCTCCATGCGTCCACAGGTCCCTGCCAGGAGCCTGTTCCCACAGGTTCACAGCCCTCTTTCAGGAATCCACCTGCTCCGGCACGTGGCTCCTCTATGGGCTGCAGGTGGATCTCTGCGACCCCGTTGCCCTCCATGGGCTGCAGGGGCACAGCTGCCTCACCACGGTCTCCACCTGGGGCTGCAGGGAAATCTTTGCTCCAGCACCTGTAGCACCTTCTCCCCCTCCTTCTTCACTGACCTTGGTGTCTGCAGAGCTGTTCCTTTCACATATTCTCACTCCTCTCTTCCCTGAACACAACTACATATGTGCAGTAACTTTTTTTTTTCTTTCTGAAACATGTTATCACAGAGCTGTTACTACCATCTCTGAAGGGCTCGGCCTTGACCAGCAGCAGGTCCATCCTGGAGCTGACTGGCATTGGCTCTGTTGGACATGGAGAAAGCTTCTGGTAGCTTCTCACAGCAGCAACCCCTGTAGCACCCACACACACACTACCAAAACCTGGCCACACAAACTCAATATGTTATTCATACTCTCATACTTCTCGTAACCTGAAACTAAACCTGATAAAGCAGCTTTCTGCACTAGTAACTCCACACAGAACTATGAGGAACAGACGTGATGGGGGTTTATACTGATGAAAATGTTACAGAGAATATAAACTGACTTAAATAAAGTAGCGTTTTAATCTCTACTAAGATATTAAATATTCTGTAACAGGGAATCAGAAAAATCAACTCAAAGAGTACTTGCATTTTTAAAGGTAACGTATTCAAATATACGATGCTCAAAACTCAGACAAGAAAAAAGAAAACAAACCTGCAAGAAAATTTACAAGGTCTCTGGGTTTTATTCTAGATTGAGTTTGGCTTCTTAGACAAACACTATTCACTGCTGAAGTGGCAGGGAAGGAACCCAAGCTCACCTTTATTCTAGCTGTCCTTCATTCTAAAAAAAAAAAAAAAAAAAGTTTAAAACAATTATTAAAAAAGTTTAATGCAGTATTTTCATAACAGCCTTGCTGAAATCAGCTCTCTGATATGGAGGCCCTTGAGGTAAATGGGCCAGGTAAACCTTAAAATCCAACTTGTGTCAAAGGCTAGCAATCCTTAAAGGTCAGTGTTGTTTCACTATTTACATAAAAAGCATTTAATATGCAAGTTTAGACTACTACTCTGGTTTTAGTTTGGCACCCTGACCAGTGGTTTGTTGTTTTTTTTTCCAAGTAGTTTGTCTGTGTTCCTTCTTATAGCATACATTTCTGTGAGAAAGACAACAATTCTGAGGGAAATACAATGTTACAGAAGACAGCACAGAAGTCCTTATTTTATATTCACAGTGTAAAATAGAATAAAAAAGTAAATATTTAAAAGCTTTTCCTCAGCATAAATCCGTATTTTACCAATCTTTTTGTCTTTCAATACAAATCAACA